GGAAATCTATCTGAGGAAACTCGTTAGAATATGTGGGAATCCATCAGAGTATGTGGAAACCCATCAGAGTATGTGGAAACCCATCAGAGTATATGAGAACCCATCCAAATATTTGTGAACCCATCAGAGTATATGAGAATCCACCAGAGTATGTGGAAACCCATCAGAGTATATGAAAATCCATCAGAGTATGTGGGAACCCATCAGAGAGTATATGGGAATCCATCAGAGTATGTGGTAACCCATCAGATTATATGGGAATCCATCAGAGTATGTGGAAACCCATCAGAGTATGTGGAAACCCATCAGAGTATATGAGAATCCATCAGAGTATGTGGGAACACATCAGAATATATGGGAATCCATCAGAGTATGTGGAAACCCATCAGAGTATGTGGAAACCCATCAGAGTATATGAGAATCCATCAGAGTATTTGGAAATCTATCTGAGGAAACTCGTTAGAATATGTGGGAACCCATCAGAATATATGGGAATCCATCAGAGTATGTGGAAACCCATCAGAATATATGAGAATCCATCAGAGTATGTGGAAACCCATCAGAGTATATGAGAATCCATCAGAGTATGTGGGAACCCATCAGAATATATGGGAATCCATCAGAGTATGTGGGAACCCATCAGAGTATATGAGAATCCATCAGAGTGTATGAGAATCCATCAGAGTATGTGGGAACCCATCAAAATATTTGTGAACCCATCAGAGTATATGAGAATCCATCAGAGTATTTGGAAATCTATCTGAGGAAACTCGTTAGAATATGTGGGAACCCATCAGAGTATGTGGAAATCCATCTGAAGAAACTCATTAGAATATGTGGGAACCCATCCAAATATTTGGGAACCCATCAGAGTATGTGGGAATCCATCAGAGTATGTGGAAACCCATCAGAATATATGGGAACCCATCAGAGTATTTGGAAATCTATCTGAGGAAACTCGTTAGAACATGTGGGAACCCATCAGAGTATGTGGAAATCCATCTGAGGAAACTCATTAGAATATGTGGGAACCCATCAGAGTATGTGGAAATCCATCTGAGGAAACTCATTAGAATATGTGGGAACCCATCAGAATATATGTGAACTCATCAGAGTGTGTAAAAACCTATCTGAAGAAACTCGTTAGAAATGTGGAAACCCATCCAAATATTTGGGAACCCATCAGAGTATGTGGGAACCTATCTGAGTGTGAAGAAACCCATCATGTCTGTCTGTGAGGTACTTAACTCATCAGTGTGTGGGAGCCCATCTGAATGTGTGATAACCCGTCTGAATATTGTGATATATCATCAGAATGTATGGGAATCCATGTGAGTGAACCCATCTGAATGTGTTTGAACCCATCAGATTATTGTGATATACCATCAGAATGTATGGGAATCCATGTGAGTGAGCCCATCTGAATGTGTTGGATCCCATCAGAATATTGTGATATACCATCAGAATGTATGGGAATCCATGTGAGTGAGCTCATCTGAATGTGTTGGAACCCATCAGAATATTGAGATATACCATCACAAAGTGTCAGATAACATCCAGATGTGTGGAATACTATCAGAAAGTGCGAACACCATCAGATTATGTTGGGTAATTGTTATCAGAAAGTGTTGGGTACTACATTTTTTTGTATCAGAAAGTGGGAATAGGATACAGAAAGTTTGGGATACAGTTTGAAAGTGTTGGAGCTTGTCATAGAATGTAGGAACCCGTCAGGAATTGTGGATACTGTCAAGGCTAGGTTACCTTCAGAAAGAATACCATCAGTATAGTATATCATTAGAAAGTGTTGAATACAAATATTTGAAATGGTTCACCCAAACTTCACATTCAGTGATTGTTTAAGTCCCAGAGTAATGCCATGGTTGTACGCACATGGATGCACAATGTATACATACCAGGTATATGAGTTTGTTTCTGATGATACTGATGGAAATGAAGAAGCAGATGCAACATCAAAGGATCCTTACTGTTCCCTATGTACATGGCTTGTTTCCATGTGAATGGTTCACTGCATTTTAAAGTAGAAAATCGTTTCTATGGATCAATGCTTTTTCAAGCTGGTAGTCAACAATCATTGTCTTGTGTTATAACAGTTAATTTCCATACTGTGCTTCTTCTCTGCTGGCTTCAAGTTACACCCCCCCCCTATTGGTAACACCCCTCTGCCCACAAATGATGAGATCACCTAGTCTGATATCAGGACACAAATGAATAGATAAACATGTACAATGTTTTGTTGTTTTGTCATAATATAAATTTGTGAATGTCTTATCTATATTTTAAATGGCGCTGCACATGTGCGACATTTGTAATTGATAAACATTGATTTTGCCACAATTCAATGTGCTCTTCTAATGGAAATCACAAGTATGAGGTTTGACTTGGGGGCGACTTGCACTACTGTAGAATATTTTATTTTAGCTGGAATTAATTTTCGCTGAGAAGACTTTTTGGGTGTTTTGTATGGATTTATTTCCACTGATTTTTGACAGCGAAAATTAATTCAGCGAAAATAGCGAAAATTAATTCCAAGCGAAAATAAAGTATTTTACAGTATTTACCACTGATGACTCCTTTAATACCTTCCAAACACCTTAAAAATACCTAATTAAAGCTTGGTAACAACTCAGTTTGTACACGTTGATCTGCCCAACAATCAAAGTCGGCATTTTTGTTTATATGAGACCCATATATCTCAAGACTACCGTCCTTTAATTTTACATATTTTAATTTCTCCTAAACACACACAAACAGTTGTACATATACAGAGTGCAGTGGTCATTCACCTGAAAGTGCAAGTTGTCATCAGAAAGTCTCACTAAATAGTACAAGAGCTGTCTAACCACTGTACATTGTGTGTGTATTATTGACCCAGTAGGCTTTACTGCATTACTAGTATTATCTTTTCAATTACATTGATTTTCATTCATCGTGTCATGGTAAACAGTTTCTGTTTTTCAAAATTAATGTGGATGCCTGTTTTTATTTTAGTTTTAAAATTGTTGTAAAACAGATGCTTTTGTTTTTATTTTTTCCCAAATCCTCATTTTTTAACTGTCCTTCACAATCAGCAGGGAGATGAATAATATTTTCTGGGACTCAAAGCTTGTATACTGGTAATTTATTTGAATACTGTTTTGAAGAGACTTGAAGGAAGTAGTTCCTGCTTTTTTAATAGGGATGTCTCCAGACTCCTGTTTGCTGCTTTGTATCTTTTAGAAGTATTGTACATACTAGAACGTCACATTTACCAGAGAAGTGCTCATCATAGTGTATAAAGATCATGGGAAGAAATGAATATCTTGATTTCCACCACACAGGATGAAATTTGCTTGAATATAATTTATTTTTAATCAAAGATGTGTTATTTTGTATATTCCTACATTTATTTTTCCCAACTGTCCGATGTATCCAACTTGGTTGCAGAATGGTTCAACAGTGGTCATAAAAAAAACTTTGCTACCTGTTTAGCTAGTAGCAAATATGGTCACATCCGGTGTTTTGAGGCACTCATACATAAATGACCATCAAGAACATTAATTTCTAAAGAAGAACCTGTCTGATTAATATGGTTCATAATTTATTAACTGTAAATAACTATGATAGTTTTCTTCAAAGCTAATTGGAGGTAGTTAACAACTATAGACATATTTTCTTGACTTTTATCATTTGGCTTTATTTTATGCTGTTGCTCACAGAATCCAAATAAAAAAGTATGGTCACCACACTACTTTTCACAAAAAATGTGTCATACACCTGTGAAATTGGCTTCTTTGGTAAAAAGGTCTCAAATATCTCAAAAAGGTCTCAAAAAGTGTTATGCTCTTATTGGATTGGTTGATTACTGTGAACAACTTTAAATACATGAACAGTAAATACTTTTTTTTCTTAATGACTGACATTTTTCAACAATAACTATCCAATATCTAAAGTTTTTATCAACTAATGTGGGTACTTATTGCCTGATAAAGATTACTTCACCCCTATCCCGTGTTCTGGTTGTCTTCACATTCTTATCTGTTCTAAATTGAATGTCTCAACAATTTCCTCATTTTAATTTCAATCAACGGATTTCAATCAGTTACCTTAGAGTATTACCAGTTGGCATCCTGCTGTCATGCCTGCATGATCACACACTATGTTCATTTCACTGGTGTTGACTGTATTCTTTTGGGCAGTACCGTATTTACTCTATTAGGAAGTGCATCTCCAGCAGTAGTGTAGATTTTGTGTAATGTATAACAGATCATTAAAATATGACTTATTCTGATTATTTGGAGTGTATTGCACTCCCACAAAATCGGCTCGGACTGTGTACAGTGTTGTTGGGCTTAATTGAACATAATATCTGTCATCTTTTTCATACTTTCGGATTTATGAATTAATTCTCTAGCATACTGAAAATGAAAAATATTGGGGTGTTCAAAAAATTATTCAAGTCCGAAATTTTTCAGAAAATGATTACAATTTGCATTTGTTCACTGATTCCCACATCGCCATATTCTGAAGACTATGTGAAAACATAATTTCTGTTTCTTTTTTTGGTCATTTCAATCCTAATTATTTGTTATAAATATTTCAAAATATGATATCTTGGGAAATGGTTTTCTTGTTGTGTAGTCTGTAAAGTTTAGGTTGTGATGTAGAAAAATCACAGCATAGCGACAAGTTTTCGCGTGGAGGGGATGGTCATGGAGGTAGGGCAGAAAAAAAAAATTATGAGAACACAACATATGGAATTACTTGTTATTAAGGAAAAGTCAATCAAGATGTTCATTGCATCACAGTCTGCGATTGTCTAGATCTAGATCTCAAATTAAACCTGCTTTATTTTTAACGTGGTAATCTACATTCATAGTAGATTTCCTTATGTGCACAACTTCCTGTTTGGAAGACAATGTATTTTGAATATAACTTGGGGGGTGGGGGTGGCAAATGCTTTTGTCTTTCTAAGCTGGGCAGGGGAGTATCCCATAAGTCATCTGTGTGCACTACTTCCTGTTGTGACATCAAGTAACAGTTTATCTCTTTAATTATGTAAATGAGATACAATATTGGAGTACTAGTACTACTGTAAAGGGGGTAATTATTCACTGGGTTTTAATTTAGCTTATTTCGCTGACTGGGAAAATGCGCTAAATTAAAACCCAGTGAATATGTAAAATTTAGCATAAAACACATTATCTAAATGACGAAACCGTGAATTTAAAACCCACTGAATATGTCTGAAATGGTAAATCAGTGAAATTTAAACCCGGTGAAAATTAGTCATTTTACAGTATACTGCACATGAGCTTTATTGATATACTGGCACAGTGACACTACAGACTGAATACAAGACCCAACTACTGTCAATCTGATTAAAATCCGATGTAGGTATGAGGCTCCAATTTTTTTTTTTATTAATATTTTTTTTATAGCCTTTATATTATATTTATTTATTTGTATTTTAGTTAAAAAAGGAATTTTGTAAACTGGATTTCATGGATTGTGTATGTTTAAATATGTGTATCTCGGCATGGTCCAATCATGGTCCAATGAATGTTGAAATGTTTAGATAGACGATTATTATTTTTGATGGAATACCTACTGGGTTTAAAATATTGCAATATATAATGTTTTTATTACTGACCCGGATGATAAAATTCAGTTCCCCCTGGAGATATTTCTCAGTAAATGTAAAATCACGACACGTCCATTTTTGGTTTCGTAGTCGTGCAACACTTATATCCGCCCGTTCTGGTTATCCAATCTGGATCGACAGCTGTTCATCGTTTTTCTTTCACGAGGCCACCCCCCCCCCCCTTCTTCAGAAGGAATGGTTACGTGTTCGTGCACGCGCATTTTCCGG